ACACACACACACACACACACACACACACACACACACACACGAATGCACGCATCCCCCCCGCGCGCGCGTGACAAACACGGACAAACACGGGTGCTGACTGACACGCCCTGCGCGTGTATCCAAAGCTTTTGCTGTCCTGCTGTTCTTATCGGGGAGGGGTCTGTGGGTCAGGGAGGGGTCTGTGGGTCAGGGTTGTCTGAGGAGGAAGCAGATGAAGGGAGTTGCGCACGGGAACTTTTATTTAAGTCTGAATATGAAGGTAAATTAAATCTCTGACAGTGATCATTGCACAGTGTGGCTCTAATTCACCACTTCACCATCTGTGTCGCAGTTTCCCGTCTCCAAAATGAGCGTACGCATGGGTCAGAGCTCGCGTGAGGCACCGCACATTTTCACATCAAGTTTGGATTTTATAAATCACAACCATGGCGTAAAAAGTGGCGTACGCAAGTTTCTGGGCTCAAATTGTGCGTACGCCAGTTTTATAAATCCGACCCCAGGAAATTACAGACCAATAGCTTTAACATTTAACATTTGCAAAATAACGGAAAAAATGATAAATGAATGATTAACATATTATATAGAAAAGAAAGAACACATGTCAACATTTCAAAGTGGGTTTAGAAAAGGAAGGAACACGATGGATCCACTATTATGTCTGGAGCATGAAATTAGGAAAGCACAAATAAAGAGTGTAGTAGCTGTATTTTTTGATGTAGAGAAAGCTTACGACATGATGTGGAGAGGTTTACTTATAAAACTAAAGAAGATAGGAATTAAAGGACAAATGTTTAAATGGATCAAAGATTTATCAGAAAGAAAAATACAGGTAAAAATGGGTCAACAATATTCAAACAAATATGTAATAGAAAACGGTACACCTCAAGGAAGTATAGTCAGTCCATTATTATTTTCTTTGCTAATGATGATATGTTTAATGATATAGAAGAGGGGATGGGAAGGTCGTTATTTGCAGATGACGGGGCTTTATGGAAAAGAGGGAAAAATATAGAATTTATAGCAAAGAAGATACAGACAGAAATTAGGAAGGTGGAAAATTGGTCACACAAATGGGGATTTAAATCCTCCGTTGAGAAAACTAAAATAGTAATTTTCACAAGGAAAAAGATAATTAACAATGTTGAAATTAAATTATATGGAAAAGTTCTTGAGCGTGTGAAACAATTTAAATTTCTAGGAATATGGTTTGATGAGAGAATAACATGGTCAGTTCATATCCAAAAAGTAGAAGATAAATGTAAAAAAATATTAAATATATTAAGATGTTTAATAGGAAGAGACTGGGGAGCAGACAGGAAGTCACTCAAAACTATTAATACAGGGCTCATCAGATCAACACTGGACTATGGAAGCATTGTTTACAATTCAGCATCAGATACATCTTTAAAAAAAATTAAACAATATTCAATATCAGGTATTAAGAATAATTACAGGAGCATTTAAAACAACACCCACAGGAGCAATATTAGTAGAAATGGGAGAATCACCATTAGACATCAGAAGAGAACAGTTAGCGTTAAATTATTGGGTAAATTTAAAAGGACATGAACAAAATCATCCAACACAACAAGTCTTAAAATCATGCTGGGAAAAGGAAAAAAAAGAAACTAAAAGTTTTGGTTGGATCATAAATCAGAAAACAACAGAAATACAAATCAGTAACATAGATGTTAGTCCAACAATACCAATACCAGTCATACATCCATGGATACAGTGGTTTGCAAAAGTATTCATAC